ATAATGCTGAAGAACAACAAGAACTTCCTTGGACAGGTGGAGTATAACCTGTTAAATTCTAGTTTCCTAGGTAGCTTCCAAGAGTGCTTATAGTCACGAAGGTTTAATGCCAATTAAAAAAATAATTAAATAGCTTTTATAAACTGCTATCATATATACCTGTTTTTAGCCTCAACCCTAGATTTGCTCTTTATTTAACTTAAATATTTCCATTAATCATACAAGAATCAGGGCAAAGCTGGATAGTAGGTCAGAACTTTTTCTGTCTTTGCGCCAATTTATAGCTTATTTCTCTATTTGGTTACCCACTATAAAGTACAGAGTATGGTCAGACTCAAAATTCCTACAAAGATCTGTTATTAATTTCTATTTAGATATGTGTGCTAGTAGAAACCAGGCAGACATAATTACTATGTCCTCAATTGGATTCATATAACAGGAACCTAATAGCGTTGTCACTATAGAACGGAACCTATGCTAGCTTCAATCATAGCATATATACGGCTAGAAGAAGTTTACATTAAGGAAAAGCTAAAATAAATTAAACTTAATAAGGCGGATATATGTCTGAATGATATAGCCTAGGAAACAGAGCTCAATGTGAAGTAGCTCCTAATAAGTGATGGGATTATGTGAAGAAAGTGGTAGAAGAACAAGAGGATGGGTCTCATAAAGTTGAAGCTTTACTCAGGCTTCTGCATTCAAAGCTCACCTACAGATGCGTATACACACAAGAAAGCAGAGGGCCAGATTCAAAGTATATCCTGTTCTACATGCTCGCCAGAGGCAATTTTAGATAAGCTCATTTGATGAATTGCCTATTCGAGAACATAAGCCTAAATTACTCTCCCGGGATGTGACATCGTTTTCACCACAAATGGGAACTTTGTTCTATGTCTATATATTATTAAATGCTTCATTATATCCTCGTCTATTTTCCAGCTTAATCCAAGTTTCATATAACAGCTTGAATCTGAATTTTCATAAAGCAATTGATTCTTTAATTAGTTCACGTCTGTAGATGAAATTGCATACAAAAGACAAACTTCTGGGTAGTATAAATGATATAAGCAATTAGAGTTAGCTTAATCTCGTTTTCGCAACTTGATCGGAACGACAGAAAGACCTTGTGTATCATATTCTATAGTATTCGAGATTTCCAACATCGGACCATTGGCTTGGTATATTCTCAAACTTTTCGCCTGCATGGTCATTAAGAGCGCCATCGTTAGCACAGAGTTACACCTTATCAGTGACAAATGATAAGTTGTAACTATGCCTGCAAAACGCTTGGGAATGTACCAAGCCAATGGCCCGATGCTGGAAATATCGAAGACTATGGCAGAGGATACAGGACTAGGTACGTTTCACAAGATCTCCCTGTTGTTCCAACCAAATTACGAAAATAAGGTCAAAAAAATACTATACAGTTAAAGGAGACTGCGACCGAATAGAAGGCCATAAGCAAATGTTTTTTAGGAAGGTAATTCCGGTAAAATTAACTTCCTGTACACATTGTCTTCACTACGTGTTTTTTCCATATTTTACTTTTTTATACTTTTTGGACAATCATAATGCCTTGATTGATAAGTCAAGTTAAACTTTATACCAAACTAAGATATCTGCAGTATTTCGTATGTCAAATTGTCGAAATCTAATTTTGCGGGCCAGGCCTTGTCTAAATCACTAATCATTTTACACTACTTTATTCATTTATTTGATATTTTCAGGAGTGTATAATTCAACCGACTTTATAAGAATAGTTTCGAATTTACTTGACGAATATAACTAGTCTGGCTTGTAATCAAATGAATATTCAGATTTGTGTTCTGAAATAAACCAGACAAACACAATTAATATCATTGCGTGTTTCGATAGCTTCCTCTTCCGCCAAAGGCATCATCTTTCTACTTATGTGTATGTTTGGCGAGTTTATTCAAAATTTTTGCCTTAGATTCCCTTCAGTAATCCTTTTATTCTTTACTTTCTTCATATACTTTAAGCGAAGTGGCGATGGCCGAGAATTGGCTCCGTACAAACGAACCATATCTGACGAGCGAGGAACTTGGCTCTTGTCTGGATGAGACAGTTCGGCTTCTCCGACTTCATGAAGAATTTGAGCGCGGCTTAATGGCCCAGTCGAGTCGTTTTGCCGGACTCAAGCGCTTAACTGAGGTTAGAGAATAACAGTTCACCATGCTTTGATCGGCTGGCTATATGGCCAGAGGATGATGGTCACAACCATCTGTCTAGTACTCAAGCTATTCATTAAATCTGGCCTGACTCATTGCTTTAAATATTTATCGTCGCGGAAATTCTAGACTTTCTCCTACTGTAAAACTCATAATATACTGTTGAAGAACTATTGGTCTCGTTTGGGATCGAGCCTCACATAGATGATATAGCATAAATAGGACAGTTAAATGCTCCATTTTTGAGCCAATAACTTGGTCATAAGCACCTGCAAGTATTTCGACTAGAATAGTTTTTCCCTATTAAACAATTGTTTTATTCATCCAGTTCCTTTTTAAGAGGAATGAAATTCCCCTAAATGCTTAGCAACGAATAATTTTTTTAAATTATCGGTACTTCTTGTCTCTCTATTCCGTTTTTACATGAATTAGAACTCTTCAACATTCCAAATGAAGTGCTTTTTAATCATGGATTGTAGAGGCTGTTTAGGCTGTGTATTTGGAACTAAGTAATTTATCATGAGTTTAAATACTGCACGCTTAAAATTAGTTAAAAGAATAGCATCCCATAAGATGGCATCCACATTATAATTTGGTTCCACTCACAGCTTGCTGGAGGGGGAAATATATAAATGGAGCATTCTGCAAAGACTAGGTCGTTTGACTATCTGACTGTGTATACGCGGCTGGTAGTTCTGTGTACCGAAAATTCCCTTGCATTTTGGATGATAACAATCTATAGTTTCATTTCAAGAGCAATGTCTTAATAGAATATTCTCGACTTGGCTTTATAACATGAGGAGGCATCAATTTCGGATCACTCTTCTGTTACCCTGAACACTATCGCGGGTATATATCCTGATACAGCCTCTCCTGGCTATCTTGGGCCAATCGGAAAGACTTCTGATCAGGTTCCTGAAATTTGGGTTTTTTTATCTTGACAACGAATTCAAACTTTTCGATAAAGACAACAATCATTTTTTAATATTTCCTAGAATCTAACAAACCTGGTTCTACTTATCACTCAGATGTTTTATAACATTGGAGATTCTCTTGCGACGTTAAATTTTATTCCGAAGAAATTGTTTTATATAAAGAATTCATGAATTGGTCTTTCTGAAAACTGAAAAAGAATTGCCTTGGAGTGAAGACTTTTAAATTTTGCGAAGAATTCCTCGGTTCACCTTTATATGACCCCAATGAACGCATGCTAAGCTTTTATTTGTCCTGCCTCATCATCAAAGCGTGAACCCATACCTTACAAAAGACGCATTGAATACAATAATTCCCTGTTTCTTGGATTAATGTATTTGGTGCGTTTTTTGCAAGGTATGATTTCTTGCTCTGATGATGGATATCTCTGAAATACAATTAAAAACTTAGTCGAATCTTTACCTCTAAACGTTCATTGGAGCCTAGGGGCTCTATGATTCGAGTACTTCTTCACAGAATCTAACATTCTACACTCCCAGTCAATCCTTCTATTTCCAGTGAGACTACTCCCCGAAATTTCCCAACCAATATTTTCTGCTAAATTAAAAGTTAATGTCACATTTAACGACTACAGAATTCTCCGAAACCCACTTTTTATGCATATTAATGGTTCTCATATTGCAACCACAATTAAACAGTTAGAATGTGCGGAAGACTGCCTACAAGAGACCGGTCTCCCGCGATCTAGAAGTGGTCTTGGTCTCAATCTTGACTATCCTTATCTGAGCGGACTCATATTTCATCAAGCTTCTTCGCTCTGGCAACCATCTAAAGGCCAAGAGTCGCCGAGCTCGTCGTCTAGGCTGACTTTTCCTGTCCAGTTTAAACACAGTCCTTTGATCAATGACGGAGATTCTCATCCCTCGTCTACGCATCATACCGGGTCAAGACTAAGAACAGTAACTGAGACTTCTACTTCAACCCATTTCGAGTCTTTGCTCGGCCCCTCAAAATCGGCATACATTCAGCATCGTGTAGTTACCGATTCCGACAGACTGGCAGGCTGGCAGCAGGTGTACTTGAACTTTCTCGCCAGTCAAGGTCTAGTACCATCTCTGGTGGATGTTGAGACCGACACGCGTACGTGTATGAATACCATTGAACGCAAGCTCGATGAGCGGGCACGTCGGTTGCGCACAAGATGGCGTCGATTCCAGGTGCTGCAACAGAAGGCCTGCTGGTCTGGTGAAGGTGGCAGTGCTGGTACTTCTGGCGCAGAACAAACCGGAGGCTCGGGCCGTCACGGAGACTCGCCTGAGACCGAGAGTAGCTTGTATTCAGACAGCGAGACAGACACGTTTTCAGAGAGCTCTGCGGACAGGAGATCTACTGACATAGTGCTTTTCAGTAAGTCATGCCACGACTGACCTTATGTTGATTGTAGGGGCTAGTTTTGCTCGGAATACCTGCTATGTGTTCGTCGTAAATACGTCTGATGAATATAATTGTAAATAAATGATAACAAAGTGTCTCATTTTCTTCCAGAATCTTAATTTTGCAAAACGATTGTTTTAGCCATTGGCAATTAATATGATTAGGAGTCATTTTCTTTTTTCTGATGTTTGATTTAACCCATTACTCAAGGTAGAAGTAAGCAGCCTAGGTCGCATGTGATAAAGTATTGGTAGTTTAATCTTCTCACAATCATATTAGTAGGCTTCATGGTGCTATATATATTTCACCCATTCTGAATTTAAATCCGCTCCACGATCCAGTGGCATCCGTGGCAATATCGTCCATTCCTGATAGTGCTTATGATGAGACCCATACTGTATCGAAACTTCAGTCCAGCCTGTATTAGAATATCTAATGGGGGGGCAAGGCTAAGTGAAATTCAATGGTATTGTAAGGCCTATTCATAGAATGGTGGGAGCTTTTAACTATCAAACCATTATCACCTTGAATATATGAAAACCAACATGTTGTGGCCTCTGTTATGGTCGCAGTCTCCTTTCGATTTATAGAAGTGGGTTGATCTCGTTGAGAATGTATCAAGTCCACTGTCAGATGCTGGGAATCATGACACCTACTATGGCAGACGATTTCGGACTAGGTGCGTTCCACATAGTCTCCCTGATCACAAGACCAAGTTGAGGTAACGAGGTCAACCCACGTCCATTATCACCTCGTTTGACTAAGGATGACTACAACCTTCATTCAAGGTCTACTTTTAGTCTCGACACAGACCATTTCTAGGCATAAATACTGAATGCGTCGAGTCTATATTGACAACCAAAAAAATCCAACGCTAATTCTACTAGGAACCGTTTCAATTAGCCTCCTTAAAATGCACCAAACAAGTTTAATGAATATATTAAGTGAATATATAGTGCTATGGAATAATTAACTGATATTTCATATGTTTGAAAATGGATCCAGTTGAGCATGATCGCGAGCCAGTTCCTAGGAAGCCAATTGAACTCGTTATTAAACAAGATCAAATGAAATATTTTTAATCAGATTCTTAGGAGATATCAAGGTAGAATGTGGTAAAAACCTACAAATGTTTTTGATAAAGCTCAAATTTATTTATTTATTTCAGTTAGCGCTTTTCAAATTTTAGGCTTTTCACTAGCAGCTATTTTGTTTTAGATTATATCGTTTAGCATGTAAATACCTAGTATTTTATTCGTTTTTATTTTATTTATTGAGTTAAATTTTATCACTATTATTTAGTTGTTGCCGGGTTGATAAACACTTTGATTGCTATAAATCTCTTAGAAACAGACAACTACCAAAATTGACCAGTCATTTAGCATAATTAGTAAACCTGAATTTTATCTTCTTTGCTGAATGATGCTAGTGGAATTCAGAGTAAATAAGCCTCAGAATACACATCCCATGGACCTTGAATCACATTGTCAACTTTGCGGTACGATTTGCTTTCTCCTGGAGCTGATGGGCTCCTAGATACTTCTCTTGTCTCCATTTTTAGTATTTTTTGTATCTAACTGCCTATTAGGCCGAAAATGAATAAAAGTATTGAATTGGATTTATGGGAGGCGCAGAAATGTGCCGGAAGTCTTACGACTTATTTTTTGCATTTTAACCAATATTTAGAAATATTTTGCATCTTATTTGCTTCACCAATGTGGTTATTTATTTTCTTTTTTTATTTATGATTTCATATATCTCAGCAAATATTTCATCTTCTTTTTTCTAGGGCCATGATGTGTATTTTTAAGGCTAGCTTTTGGGTCAAACTAATGTTTTTCTGTATATATTTTTCTTGAAGATGAGGTAACTGGCTGGTTATGGAGGAAGCATGAATGGCTATCGCATACCAAAAAGTCTAAAGATCGGGCTTGGCACGAGCTTTACACAGTGCTGTCTCCATCGAATCGCCAACTCTTGGTCTACAAACAAAGTGGACAGTATCATCAGGAAAAGTAAGAAAATTCCTTTACTTTAACTAAACTTCTTTGCCAAATTCATAATATTGAGAAGAAACCTGATCTTTCCTTATGAATGTCTTATCTCCTACTTCCTACTGCCAAATGAGGGGTAGCTCTTATGCCTAAAAACCCCAACTACGAACCTTTATTATAGCATCACTTACTGACTAAACACAACTGTACCTACTGCTAACTACAAAGGATTAGCGATTGTCATAACCAAACGATAAATCATTAACT